GATGCAGTATTAACTTTTTCTATTTATTGGAGTGGATTCTGTAGTGCCGGTAGAGGAAATTTCAGCCTTCATTCCCAGGTGTGTTCCTATTGGAGGGCTTGGCTCCTCTACCAAATGTTCAGCTCTTGATGAGGTGGTCACAGGCTAAGGAGATACACCTCAGTGAAGACGGTCAGGTCCATGCTGTGCATAGGGCTGGTGTACCAAACCTTCCAAAGTTGCTTCCAGGCCCCAAGCGCAGACTCACCCTAAAGCCAGCCCAGACCAAGCTCAAGGCTCCTGGCAGGCAGGCGGGGAGGTCAGGGTGTTGGTGGCTTTAGGCAGTGTCTGGTTTAAGTTTTCATAACAAGAATCTATTTTTCTTTGGGCTTTGATTGTTTTTATAGTAATTCTGGTGGAGGTCGTCTCAGAAGTTTAAAGGACCCATATTTTGGGAGAGGAAGAGGAGCCTAGAATGAAAAAGTAACAAAGGCCAATGATTCAAAATATTTATTGATTTATTTTTAGAGGAAGATTTTTGTTATAGAGCACTTGTACTTGCTGCAGCCACACACACACACATACACACACACACAGAAAAAGAGAAATCAACCCCCCACAGGGGATGGCCATGCTACAAACCCTTCTCTTCCATTCTCCTCTCAGGATTTCGGGCATGTACGCACAAGTGCCTGGTGTGTTTCAAGCCACCCAGTCAAACTCAAACGTGGCTGGCCATGTGGGAGTCCAGTACCACAACCACCATGCCATTTGCTGGTCCCCCAGAATATATATTCTTAGTATTTTAGTGCCACTAAAACCTGGATGCAAGGAGCATTATAGAGTTGGTTTATACAGGGGTTTGCCACCCAAGCACACAACAGATGCATGTGCTGGACTTTCTACCCTGTCCATGGCCGGCCGTACAGACCTGTTCCCGTCGTTTGGTATGAAGGGCTGAGCTCTGCTTTTAAGGGCCTTCCTGAGCGCCTGGTGCACCCCTGTCCTGACGGTAAAGGGCTGTCTCTCCCTGCATACAAGCTTCGCCATACTTAGTGCTGTTTCCTGAGCACATCTCAGGGTTCTTTCCCCGCAGCCCTCTGGATCCTCCTCGGTGCAGGATTCCCGCGAGGCAGCAGCTGCTATTGGGCGGAGGAGTGTCCAGAGGAAGTTGCCAGAACCAGCATGGAAGGTGCTTTCCTAACTGAACTTTTCCTACTGTGCTCATGGGCAATAATTTAGACTCGCTAGGGCCTCAGTTTCCCCATTTGTAAAATGGGAAGGATGCAAATAGCCCCTAACAGGTAGGGCTGTCCTAAGTGCCAGTCTGTGTGATGACGACGTCGACAGTGCAGTCCTACAGCCAACGCTCAGCAAGGGTCTCGTAACATCGTCATGGTTTCGAGCTCTGGCCTACCACCGACTGACCACTAGGTGGCAGGCGCAGCTCGTGCAAACGGCATCTGGAGTCTCCCTCCTTTTCTGGGAGGTCTGGGCGTCTGAGGTCCTGGGTCGCTAGGAATGTAATCTCCACATTTCGAGGGCATCCTTCCCCTGACCCCTCAAAGTGGCAGCAGCAGAGGCCCAGTGGCCTTTGTACCTAGGTACTCAGGAGATTTAAAAGGACTGGAATTTCTTCCCAGCAACGGTTGCTTCCCCTGGACCGGCAATGAGTTTGGTCCTGAATGGGAGCCTGTCACACATGCCTGCCACGTCCCATAGAGGGACCTCAGGCCTCTCATTCCTTTGCTTCCTCTTGCTGGGAGGACATTTCTAGGGATAGGCTCAAAATTCGCAATTTGAAATTCGTCAGAATTCTCATTTTTCCCTTATTTTTTCTCCTCTCCTTACTGTGGGATGTTGGGAAGCCTGTCCGGAAGCCTCTGGAGACTTTCTAACGCCAAAGAGTGGAGGAAATCACAAATAAGCTTTGGTGCCAGTTAAAATGCCAAAAGGTACTGTCCCCTGGGTCACAAATCATTTAAAAAATAATTATTTAGTTTTATTTATTATTATTACTGAATTTTTTTTTTTTTTTTTGAGAAAGATTTTTGCTATAGGGCATGTATACTTGCTGGAGAGACAGAGAGAGATGGAGAGACAGAAAGTGAGAAATCACCACCTGGGAGGATGACCATGCTGCAATCCTTTCTCCTCCATTATCCTCTCGGGATCTTGGGCATGCACGCACATGTGCCGGGCTTGAGTTTTAAGCCGCAGGGTTTGGAACTTGAACTGTGGTCGACTAAATGGGAGTCCAGCCACGTAACCATTACGAAATATGCTGGCCTGTATTATTGCTATTAAAAAAAAATTGTATAGGGCATGTGTGCTCACTGAAGTGAGACAGAGAGGGAGAGCAAAAGTGGGTGAGAGAGAGAAAATGAAAAAGCAAGCTCCCAGGTCCAGGACTTGTACTGTGGTTGGCCATGTGAGAGTCCAGTGCCTTAACCACCACGCCACCTGCAGGCCCCCACAGAGCAGTTCTTCACATATGGTCTAGCTTGAAGCAGTCATCGGGAAAGCACCTCACTGAGTGGTTTCCCGCTTTCTGGAAGGAGGGATTGGTGCAGCCCCGTGGGGTGGGTACAGGTGGGCTGGCAGGAGGTGGCGGCCTGTCCTCAGCGCTGCCCACCCCTGCAGCCCTCAGACCGCCAGCTCTCCATTCTCCCACAGCAGCTGCATCAGGAGCCCACGTGGAACAGAGGACGGGGTCTGTGGCCACCCGCAACTCAGATGCAAACGACCCCCTTGTGCTGCTGCTGCTGTTCCTTTGCCTTTGTCCTGAGCAGGAGGTGCAGTCTCCCAGGCCAGGCTAGCAGTCTTGTTTCCAGGGCAGCAGGTGCATCGCCTCACACCCATCAGACAGCCAGTGATGGGGTGGGGAGGACAGGGACATAGGCTGTCCGGCAGGGAGGAGGGACGTGCATCAGTCCCTGGCTCAGTAGATCTGTAGTTCTGGAGCTGGACCTGTCAGGACCAGCTGAGGAGTCCCTTGACAAATAAATGGCATTTAAGAGGAAGGAAGGGAATTACGTCCTTGCCACCTGCTCTCTGAATGCTGTGAGCACACTGAGCACCAACTGCCCATCCGGGCACCGTGCCAACAGTGAGGCCCAGCCCCTGCCCTCAGCAGGCAGGAAGCCACAGGAAGACGCCCCATGAAGGTGTGAGAGCCGTGAAGGGACAACAGGGTGGGCCTGGTGTGTGTGGGGACCTGCAGGAGGAGCCAGTGGCTGCCCTGAGGGGGGGGGGGTGAGCAGGGGAGGGGGGCACGGCTGAGGCTCGGGGGTGGGAGAGGGTGGAGATACTCAGGACACAGCTGCCGTCAACATGGAGCATCACTACCCGTGGAGCTTACGGACTACATTCAAATGCCAGACTGTGGCCAGGACTGGGGAAAAATAAATCATGAAGGTGGTGGGTGCTGAGGTTTGCAGTTACAGATGAATGTCCAGAGAAGTCCTCCCTGAGACGTGTCTGTGAGTCCAGGCTTGACCGGACTGACAGCCACAGGGTCTGAGAGGGAAGTGTGCCCCAGGAGGGGGCAGAGGCCAGAGGGCAGTTGATCCTAAGGCAGATGTGTGCCTAGGCGTTCTGGAGGCTGAGTGTGGCCGAGTGAGGGTGAGATGGACAGGAGGGTACAGGACGACCATGTGGGGCCTGGTGTCCATGTGGGGACCTGAGCTGTGTTTCTGTAGAGACGACAGTGATGGGATGGGCATTTTAGAAGGACCCGCCTGCTGCTGCTTTGAGAAAAACCTGAAGGGACGAGGCAGAAGAGGGGAGACTTTTGCCCTGTGCTGTAAAGCACAAAGCCTCTGGATTGAATTTTTATAGTAGCGCTCTTTCTTTCTCTTTAAAATAAATTTTTTTTTATTATGCTGGACACACATGCAAAAGAGAGAGGAGAGGAGAGAGAGAGAGAGAGAGAGAGAGAGAGAAAGGGCTTGGTCACACTGCCATCCTTTCTCCATTCTTTATCCTTTCGAATCCTGGGCAGGCACGTAAACCACCATGGCTGGGACTCGAACCCTAGGTGGACATGTGGGTTTGAGCTTCCTCTACATAGCGCTTATCCACTGCATTGCGGGGCTGGCCCGGTAGTGCTCTTCCCCATATTGCTTGGGTGATATGAGGAAGCAGAGTAAATCGGTCAAGTCTATGTCCCAGTTCCTCCTTAGCGCAGAAGATGCCAGGCTACTGCCGAGTGATTTTAAATTAAATACCCTTGCATGACACTATTTAAGGGTAACCAGTGAAACGTGAAATTTTGGGGTCTGCCTTGTAGCCAAGTGGTGAAGGGAGCCTGGATCCCACATGGCCAACCATAGGGTTTGAAAAACATTCTGGGTACATACAAGTGCATTCCCCAAATCTCAACAGGATGTAGAAATAGAGGCGAGGTGGTCGAGACATGACCATGTCCCACTGGGTGGTGCTTTTCCTTTTTCTTTTTTAAAAAAATAACTATTTATGAAATTTTATTATTATTATTTTAATTTGTTATAGGGCATTTGCACTTACCAGAAAGAGAGAGAGAGAGAGAGAGAGAGAGAGAAAGCAAACCTCCATGTCCAGGACTTGAACTACAGTCGACCATGTAGGAGTTCAGTGCCTTAATCATCATGCCACCTGCGGGCCCCATACTTTCTCCCTTTTTGTCCCTTTCTGGCACGCAGTTCATGTGCCGTCTCACAATTAAATACACTTGAAATCCCAGAGCCAGAAGGCCACAGTCCTTTATCTTTCAGAGTCCTGAGCCGCACCCTTTCTGCTTCCCAGAGCTGAGGGGAGGTTCGTGGGACTGGACTCTGGGCAATCTTCCTCTTGACTGGGGAAACATGACAATACCCTCGAGGTGTGGAGGAAGCTGGGTAAGGCGTGGGTGCACTTCAGTATTTATGACGTGGAGACTACATGGGAGGAGGGGAGGAGGGATGCGCGGCCCTCGTGAGCTCGGGTTCCCTGCTGGAGTCAGGACCGCGTCAGTGACGTCATTCCGTCTTCCGTCTTCCTAGGTATGGAATCGCGGGAAGCGTGAACGTGACGGGAGACGAGGTGAAGAAACTGGACGTGTTGTCCAACTCGCTGGTGATCAACATGCTCCAGTCCTCCTACAGCACCTGCGTCCTGGTCTCCGAGGAGAATAAAGACGCCATTATCACCGCTAAGGACAGGAGGGTGCGAACTGGGGCGGGCTAAGTGCCCATTGGGGCCAGTAGATGGTGCTACTGAGCTGGCAAGAACCTGGTTCTCTTGTTTTAATTCTGGGGATTTCCTTGCTTAACACTAGTTTTCTGGAAACAAAAGATTGCACAGTTCTTTGGTTGAAATATTATGCTGATGGGTGAAAAATATCCTACAGAAGAACAGTGAGTCCCTAAGGAAACAAATCGAAGTGATTTGCTGGGAAGTCTCAGATTTACTGAAAGGCCCAGTGTTGTAGCAAGGGCTGCATCTTTCAGGGCTTGAACTTGTGGAGTCCTGTGTAAAGTAGAGCTGGGAAGAGCTGTATCATACAACTCCCTATTTCTCATCTCCACCTCCACCTCACATTTCCCTGAGAAGGCTATGGTTTTAGCAGACATCTTGTCATCCCTGGGAAACTAACCTAGTGAGGAAATCCTAACCATCTTGTGCTCACGGTACTGTGGTACAGTGGTTAGCACAGGACCTGGCTGGGAGAGTAGTCACCATCATTCACAGTGTATTAAAGAGAGAGATTTGGCCTACCCGTGGTGGTGCATGCTGGTAGAGGATGCTACTCGGAGACTGAGGTCACACAGGAGGCCTGGGTCCGATTCCCGGCTCTACCTGAACAGCCGGGCACAGTGACACCCGTAGTCCTAGCAACCAGGGAATGGTAGGCAGGAGGAACACACCGCATAGTGAGACCTTGTCTAAGAGAGAGCTGGGCCTGGTGGCCTAGACCTACAGTCCCAGGTTCTCAGGCTGAGGCAGGGGGAATCAGAAAAGAGTGAGATCCTGTCAAAAAGAAGTCTGTCTGTGGGACCAGCAGTTAGCGTAATGGCTATGTCGCTGGACTCCCATGTAGTCGACCGCAGTTTGAATCTCGGGGGGTGATTTCTTGCTTTCTAGCTATCTGTTTCTCTCTGTCTGGTGAGTGCACATGCCCTATAGTGAAAAACCTCTCCAAAAAAAAAAAAAAAAAGAAGTCTGTCTGTCATCAGAATCTTCTCCTTAAAGAGGGGTTTGCTGGTAGCCAAAAGAGTCAACAAGTGGCCAGCTGTAGGCAGTCGTATGCCATAGAGGCTGGGATTCCTGGCCCTTGTTTAGACAGTGGGCACCGAGGGGAAGGGGCCATTCGTTTGTGACTATTTGAAAGACAGAAAAGATAAAGCCACAATTATTAAGCACCTAGTGTGTGCACTTTTACACTCGTCCCGCATGGTCTAGGATAAATCACACTTTTATTTTCAGCTTTGAATTTCAATTGATAGGGCCCGCCTTTCTCTCTTCAGTTCAGTCTGCTGTTGTCAGTCCCAGTCAGCCTGAGCCACGCAGGTTCTCCCTGCTGCTTGCCGGATGTATTCCACGCCTGCGCCCCAGGCTGATTGCTGCCTACAGTCCTTCCCTTAGGTTTCTGTGGGCCTTCACTGCCTTATCCCAGCCAGGCCTCCCATCAAATGTTAACCCCTCTCCACTCTAACCCCTGACCCCGCTAAGTTTTCTTCAGAGCCCTATCGCACCTATTAATCTGTGGGCTCATCTGTGCACCGACTGCTTCTCCCTCTAGAATGTGGGAGAATGTGCTAGTATTTCCCCGAGGCCTCAGCACCTGGAACATTTTCTGCAGGTGCTAGGAGCTCAGTATATACCTGCCGAGTGAATGTATGAGCAGAACATGGGCTAATGTGGATTATTTACAAGGAGGCTGGAGAATTTCCACGTTTATTGACTATCCCACTTCCATCCCCCCTCCCCCTGGCTGAGCAAGTAATGAAAAAGAAATGAAGCAAGAGCTTCCTTCTCGGGAGTGTCAGGGAAACTAATCTGAGTGGAGGGAGAAATAGCTTCCCTTTTACTTGACGGCTCGTGTGTACTGGCCAGGCGAGTGCGGTCCTTGTCGCCGTGGGCTCTTGCACCCACAAGGTTTATAAGAAGTAGCTGGGGCCCTCCTACCATGATGGTGGCTGCAGCTGCCTGTGAAGCAGAGTGGTGGGTCTGGGGATGTGGGCCTCTCAACCCACTTGATCTGTCTTTTGGTGACAGGTGGGTTGGATGCCGCAAAAGTGAGAGGAGGATTTTTTCTCTTTATTATTTATGTATATTAGGAAGACAGACCCAGAGGCCACGTGAATGTCATTCTGAGACTTTTCTAAAGTCTTTTGTCAAAAACGCTTCAAGACAGAAAGACCTGTCTGTGGAGAGGCCCAGAACGAATGATGGCTAAGCCCATACTTGACCTTCCTGTGAGCAGGGACAGAGCCGGCCCTGGAGGGCAGCCCAAGTGTATCTACTGCTTCTTCCCTGCAAGGTGCCATTCCAGATCTAGGTTGCCAACCCTCCTCAGCAGCTCCACACCCAGAGGAGAGGGCATAGTCATAGCTGGCATAGGAGGAGGGGTGCCTTTTAGACAAGTGGTACCTGCAGGACCCAGAGCAGGCGTCCAGTGATCTGCCTGGGGAAGGTGGTCCTGCACAGCAGAAGCCACATAAACTGGCTCTGCCCTCCTAAGTCAGGGCGCTTTTTTTCTTTTTGGAGAGGATTTTGCTATAGGGCATGTGCGCTCACCAGAAAGACAGAGAGAGAGAGACAGAGAGACAGGAAGCGAGAAATCACCACCCAGGGGGTTGGCCACGCTGCAATCCCTTCTCCTCCATTCTCCTCTCGGGATCTTGGGCACACACACACATGCGCCCGGCGTGAGTTTTAAGCTACTGGGTCCGGGACGCGAACCACGTTCGACTACGTGTGAGTCCAGCGACATAGCCGTTACGCTAACTGCTGGCCCCGAGTCATGTCACTTCTTGGTAAGGATGTGCCGTGGCCCTCAACCTCTTTCACTGTAGAATCAGCATCACAGCCCTGAGGTAAAGTGATGCTGGGGGAAAAGACACTGACCATTTTTCTATGATTTAGGGGAAGTACGTGGTCTGCTTTGACCCGCTGGATGGATCCTCCAATATCGACTGCCTGGCCTCCATCGGAACCATATTTGCCATCTACAGGAAGGTGAGTGTACAGGACAACCTGCCATGCCTCCTTCCCATGGTGGCCTCTGGTAGGTTCCAGGCCCAGAGCCTTGGTCTGGAGGTCTAACCTCTGTCCTCCCACCGAGTGGATTCAACACTGGAGGCAACCAGTGTTTGCCTCCGCCTCGGGATCCTCCTTGGAAGAAATGAATTGGGAACGTCTGCTCTATCTGCTTCCCAACCTACCTGGGAGGAGAACGTGAGGGGTCTGTGGGGCCTTGTTTGGAAAGCCTGGGAGGGGCACAGGTGTCAGACGAGGGGTGAGGTTCAGGTGGCATCCGAGGCCCCCGTTCTTCTCTGGGAGTCTGGACTCTCACTACTTTCTGTGAATACACTGGAACAATGCACTCACATCTACAGGTTAAAGCGCACCCTTTAACTATCCCCCATTCTGAGGTCCTAGTCCAGCAGGCATGGCTGGGTTCTCTGCGAGGGTCTCACAAAGTCAAATCGAGGCGACAGCCAGGCTGGCCTCCCACCAGAGGCTTGGGGAGAATTCGCATCCAGACTCAGCAGGCCTGATGGCAGAGTTCAGTTCCATTCTGTGGTGGGTCGTGGTCCCCGTTTCTTACTGCCTGACGCCAGGGTCATCTCAGCCTCTGGGGCTGCTGGTATTCCTGGGCTCCTGATTCCTCATCTTCACAGCCAGCAAAGGCTGGCCAAGGCTTTCTCACACTCCAATCTCCTGACACTCCCCTGCTCTTTGCCTCATCCTCCTGCCTCCAGCCACAGAAAGTTCTCTGCTTTTAAGGGCTTGTTGGATGGTTTGGGCTCATCTAATCTGGAAGATCTCCCCATTTTAAAATAATTTTTAATTTAATTTAATTTATTATTATTTTAAAACTTGCTATAGTTAGAGAGAGAGAGAGAAAGAGAAAGCAAGCTGTCAGGTCTGGGACTTGAGCCACAGTCAGCTATGTTGCAGTTCAGAGCCCCAACACAATGCTATCTACTGGACCCTAATCTCCCTATTTTAAATCCATAATTCTCTCTCTTTTGGAAAGAAGTTTTTTTCCTTAGGGCTCATGTGCTCACTGGAGAGAGAGACAGTGAAAGGGAATGTGAGAAATAACCCCCAGGGGGTATGGTCATGCCACAGTCCCTTGTCCTCCATTCTCCTCTTGGGATTTTTGGCATGCACACACATGTGCCTGGCGTGATTCTCAAGCCAGCAGATCTGGGACCCAAACCACAGTCAGCCATGTGGGAGTCCAGCAATGTAACTGCTTCGTCATCTGCTGGTCCCTTCAACCCATAATTTCGATTACACCTGCAAAGTTCTTCTTGAAGCTTAATGCAGCAGTCACCGATTCTGGATATTAGGATGTCTCTGGGTCCACTCTGCCTGCTCTGCAAACCTCACAGCAGATGGGAGCTAATAGGTGATTTTTGAGCGCCCAGCTCAACCATAAACTTCATGCTGATCACGTAACCCAGAATACCTGGTTTGTGCCACACTATGCATTTCAGACTCTTTTCTAATCCAGGTGACTGGGCCTTTACCTTTAAGGTGTTCACGGCAGAAGGAGACCAAGGGTGCTTGAGCGTCCCATGAATTAGCTGGGTAAACTGCTCTCTGGTAACGTCTGGGCTGGTTCTAGAAACTCATCGCTCTGGCTCCAGAACACACACCCTCTCCACGAAACTACTCAGGATCACACGAGGGAGCCATCCCTTATTTTCTACCCTACGAATTTGGCACTGACCCCATGATGTCTGTATACAGCGTTCCCCTCCCTTATCTACAAGAGATCTGTTCCAGGACTCCCAGGGATAAAACCAAGGATCGCTCCAAATCCTATACGATCATCCCTTGGCATTTAAGGGCACTGCGTTCCCTCCTTCCCTGCCATCCTCCCTAAAACCCAGAAATCTCCAGGTGCTCAAGTCCCCTCTATGAAATGGTTTAGTACTTGCATATAACCTACCCACATCCTCTCGAATACTTTAAATCATCTCTAGATTACTAATATTTAATTTTAGCATCATATCTAAAGTGAAAAGAAAAACACGTAGGTCAACTTTTTTCAGCATCTGCCTTTTCCCCTGTTTAATAACAATTGGCAAGACTTGGGGCATATGCTATAGGTTAAGTATATAGATATGGGGCTTGCAGAGACTGAGGGCCAACTATATAGCTATGATTTTCCTATACGTATGTACCTACGATAAAGTTTAATTTATAAATTAGGCATGGTAAGAGATTACTAAGAGGAAAATAGGATAATTAGGGCCAGCTCTGTGGCCTGAGGGTTAAGGGAGCGAATCTCACATGGCTGACCATGAGATTTGAATTCCAGTCCCAGTAGCTTGAAAAACATGCTGGGCATATGCGTGTCTGCCCCAAATCCCGACAGAATGGAGAAATGGAGAATAGATTGCAATGCGACCATGCCTCATTGAGGGGTGATTTCTCTCTCCCTCCCATTCTCTCACTCTCCTTCTCTCTGGGGAGTACACATGTCCTCTGGCAAAAATGAAAATAAAATAAGACAATTATAACAATAGGCTGTAATGAAATGTACATGGATGTGGGCTCTCTCTCTGCATGACTCAGTGTACTGGACTCATGCATTCACCCTTCTTCCTGTGATGATGTGACGATGAGACAAAGCCTAGGTGAGGGGAAGTGAGGCGAATGGCCAGGGCGTTGTGACACAGCGTGAGGACACGTCTCAAGGATTATCTGCTTTAGGCGATCCTGGATCTTATTTTCTAACTGCAGTTGACCAGAGGTGACTACAACCATGGGTCAGGACACCACGGTAACAGGCTCTCCACACCTGTCGGTCTTAGTGCTTCTTCTACATTATAAACTCAGCGGAGGACGAGGCATGCCCTTGTCACCTGACCTCACGTGTTGTCTATAATTCACATTGTTATAGTACATGTGCTTGACTGGTTGTAGTCCCAAAAGGGAGGCTAGGATGAGAGTTTTAGAGACATTTTATCAAAAATGTGAAAGAATTAATCTTAGCAGAATATGTGAATTAGTCTAAACTTTCTGAGAAGAAAACAAGGGCCCGTGGGAGAGCTATTTCACTCCTCTCTCAGAGGGCAGGATGGAGACCCAGACAGCTTTGGCTAGTAGGAGAGAATGACATGGACTCTTTCTCTGGTATCTGAGAAGGTTGAAGAATAAGATTTTTTTTTTTTTTTTTTTTTTTTTATAGGGCGCGGGCGCTCGCCAAGCCGAGAGAGCGTGAGAAATCACCTCCCAGGGGGGATGGCCACGCCGGAATCCCTTCTCCTCCATTCTCCTCCTGGGCATGCACGCACACGCACCTGGCGTGAGTTTAAGCCACCGGGTCCGGGATGCGAACTGCGGTTGACTACGTGGGAGTCCAGCGACATAGCCATTATGCAAACTGCTGGTCCCAAGAATAAGATAATTTTTGAAGGTCAAGCAAAAATAAGATAAGAGAGTAAAGGATATTCGTTTCTCTCTTTGAAGTACTGCTTATTGGTCAACAGTAAGAAACAGATGGTGTAGTATTTATGTTGTTCTGATAAAAAACACCCTGCATATTAGGAAAAAACAAAAGTTGAGCCTTTGTCTTTTCCATGCACTAAAATAAATTATAGATGTGTTAATGAATTTGGTGGAGAGATGGGAGATGGAACCAGGAAAAAAAAAAAAAAAAGAAGAAGAACATTTGTTTCATCTTGATGTAGGAAAAATTCTGTCTAAACGTAGAGATAAGAGAAGAAGGAGGGACCAGCAGTTAGCGTAATGGCTATGTCGCTGGACTCCCATGTAGTCGACCGCGGTTCGTGTCCCGGACCCGGTGGCTTAAAACTCACGCCAGGTGTGCGTGCATGCCCAGGATCCAAGGAGGATAATGGAGGAGAAGGGATTGTGGTGTGGCCATCTCCCCGGGGGGGGGATTTCTCGCTTTCTGTCTCTCTGTCTGTCTGGCTAGCGCCATGCCCTATAGCAAAAACCTCTTCAAAAAAAAAAAGAAAAGAGAAAGTAATAAATAGTGTAGAGCTGGCTCTGTGACAAGTGGCAATGTGCTGCTGAAGAGAAGCTTGAACTCGCTTGGTACCCATGTTCAAATCCTGGGCCTTGTTAGGCTGAACCACATTTAGCATGAGTGTAAGTGCCCAAGATCTGATGGGTTGGAGAATAAGGTATTAAAATAAACAAGAGAATGGGTCAGCTCTGTGGCCTTGTGGTTGGGAGAGCTGATCCCACATGACTGATCACAGGGTTTGAGTACTAGCCCCATGGTTTGGATTGTGCATTTAATTTAGATAAAAAGTATAAAACTTGTACAATAAAGTATAGGAGAACTGGGAGCTAGGGTGCGATGAACAGTTCTTGCACTCAAGGCCAAAAGCATAATCCATAAAATTAAAAATGAATAAATTGGACTTCATCAAAATGAAAAACTCTTGCTCCATAAAAGCTCCTGTTAAGAGGATGAATATAGAAGTTAAAGAACGAGAAAAAAAAATGCAAACTACATCTCTGATTAGTATCTAGAATATGAAAGAACTTTTTTTTTTAGAGAGAGAAAATTTTGCTATAGAGTGCATGCACTCACTGGGGAGAGGGGGAGAGAGAGAGAGAGAGAGAGAGAGAGAGAAAGCTAGAAATCACTGCCCAGGGGAGATGGCTGTGCCACAATCCCTTCTCTTACGTTCTCCCCTTGGGATTCTGGGCACAGACGCACATGTGCCCGGTGTGAGTTTTAAGCCTCCAGGTCCAGGACTTGAACCACGGTCAGCCATGTGGGAGTCCAGAGTCATAATTATTACAGCATCTACTGGTCCTGAATATGAAGAACTTCTTAAAACATAATAGTATAAAAACCACAATCAATTCCATTAGACTATGAGACATGAAGAGACATTTCACCAAAGAGGAAAAAGTATAGATATACACACACACACACACTTCCTGGCAGATAAACATGCTACTGTCCATAGGGAAATGCACAGCAAGACCAGGATGAAAAATCACTTTAGAATACC